GCTGCAAAGCCTCCGGAGAGCAGAGCATTGACAGCGCGAGCACCAAATCTGCAAGGGGCCAGAGCGTGGTGCCGCATCGGCGACGTCTACGTGTGCGGTGCAGCGGCGATGCCGGCGTGGAGAAAATCGCCGATACATCGATGATGCGGCACGATCCTTCGACCCCATGGCAGTCGTCGTTCGTCGTCGTCGTCGTCGTCGTCGTCGTCGTCTTCTTCGTCGTCGTCGTCGACGTCGCCGCTGCCGCCGCCGCCGCCGTCGTGGTTGTCGTCGTCGTCGGCGTCGTCGTCGTCGTCGTCGCCGTCGTCGTGGTCGTCGTCGACGTCGTCGTCTTCGTCGTCGCTGCCGTCGGGGGGTGGGCGAGGGAAGTAGCAACAGGGGAGGGGGGAGGGGGAGGAGAGGGAGGAGGAGGAGGAGGAGGAGGAGGAGGAGGAGGAGAAGGAGAAGGAGGAGGAGCAGCAGTGGACTCGGAGGAGGAGGAGGAGGAAGAAGAGGAGGAGGAAGAAGAGGTGGAGAAAACCCCTCCCCTGACCCCACCTGGGAAGCCCAGATCCTTGTGCTCGCGGTCGGCCAGCCGCGCAGAGGGCCGCAGCGGGCCGCCGGATTAGAGCCACGCGCCCAAATGTCCAACGATGTGATTTCTTCACCCAGCGGTATTTCCTCGATGTGGGCCCCCGGGGCCCTCAAGAACAGATCTGGACGAATCACTGGCCTCGGGAGGGGGTCGGGATCCCCATGGGACCACGCACTGACAAAAACAGATCGGCGGATGTCTGGGCAGACCCCCCGGGGGGGGGGAAACTGATCATCAAAGTCTGCTGCCTTGGGGCGCTTGGGGCTGTTTAGGGGGCCTCTTTGGAGGGGGGGACGTTTGACGTTGCTGGGCCCCCCCTGGCTCTCAGGGTGGGCGACAAACCAAGCTCCTGTGCCACCGGCAGTATCTCTGACAATTCCTTGGCGTCCTTCTCTTCCGCGGCCTTCTGAGCCGCGGCTGTCTCGGCCACCTTCTTGGCCGCCTCGACATTACCCGCGACCTTGGAAATCTTCCCGAGCTCGGTGAGGATCCCTGGCCTGAGCTTCATCAGCCTCGGCGAGAGCTTGGAGATCTCCGTGACGAAGGAGGTTGCCTGAGCCCCACCTTTCCTCATCTCCGATATCTCGGAGGTCAGGTGCTTCTGGAGCTCCATCAGCGTCCCCTGGTGCTTCTCCAGCGACCCCTTGATGTCCGCAAGGGACTCCGGGGCTGCCCCCTCCACGAGGGCCGTCTGGGCCACCGCCAGGATGTCGGTAGCGGTCACCTCGAACTCGTCGACCTTCATCTTCGCCTCCATGACCTTGTCCTGGTAGGCGACGGGGTCGAACTTCGGGCCGCCCACGCTGCCAGGCGTGCCCGTGCCGTACTGCAGGCCCAGGAGGGCGGGGCCGCCCTCCGGCCTTACGGGCACCGCCTTGAAGGGCTCCACCGTCAGAATCCCGGGCTCCACCTTTGTGGACGCCCGGAATGGGTACGGAAAACATGGGTACAATGCCCAACAACAAGTGTTGTCCCAGAGCATCAGCGGCCGCTGTTGGGCAGGCGGCCTTCTGTCTCGAATGGACACAGACCGCGGCGGCGCGGACAGCGAGCTGTGCCCAAAATGAACAGGAACTGTTGCTGGGCACTGCAGCCATTCTTTCCGCACCCACTTCGGTCGTCCCGAACCTTCGGCGAGTCCCACGGCACTTTCCAGCCGGCCCGCGGCGGCGTGGGCGCGCTCGAGGCGGCGCGGCCCCACACCTGCGAGCCCCCGAGGGCGTCCCCGAACCACCAGCCGCTGAAGTCGGCCCCGTCGCGCTCGTCCCAGTAGTACAGGAAGACGTTCACGTCCTCGTGGCCCGCGATCTTCTGCACCTTCTTGTAGTACTTGCGCCCGTGGTTCGTCCCCTTCTCCGCGTAGTCGCCAACCAGCGTCTGGATCCCGATCTCGTCCTGGCTTTTTTTTTGCCCCCACCTAATTATGCAACAAAGCGTCTCCCGGGAGGGGTTCGTGCTACTTCTTGTGCGCAAGGAGGCTGGCGGCGTTTTGGGTGGTGCCCTGCCAGGCCCTCTAGGGTTGCTTCGGGGGTCCCATGGATTCCTCGGGGGGGACCTGGAGTTCCCCCAATTAGAACATGAAAAAACGCCGTAAACAAAAACTTTTGGTGCTCCGCGCGGATTTCTTGGATCCGCGCTGGACCCCCCTCACTGGCGCGCGGAGCGCGCCAGGGGCGGCGCCGGAGGCGCCGCCGGGGAACATGAATCAATAGCCCTGAACCTCGCTCTCCAACATTCACATTTCAGACTCCCGACCCCTAGTTTCAGAAGGCAAATTCAACAAACCGAACTCGCGTTCCGATATCCCAGACTACCCTTGCAAACTTTCTGACACAAATAGCAAGTCGTAGGCTATGCTTCAAAACAGTTAAGGCCCGACTCTGGCAACTGCGCAATATCATCTATATGTGTTCTTATACGTCTGCAGCCAATCGCTTTTTTCGGAGCCCCTTTTAACTTTCCCATGGGTTCTACTCCTTCCAGCTTGTTGTCCAGTACGCACCACACCTATTCATCTAAATTGTGTGCCATGTCCCTACTCACATCGGATTCCCTTTCATCGTCATCCTCCCGCTGTTTGCCTATGCTGGCCTTTGTGTACTACGACGCCGATGACCTGACATTCAACATTATGATCATGCTGTGTTCGTCCTCATCTTGCAGTGTTCCGTCCACGGTATTCAGATTACCCCCTAAATTCTTTAACGCCTTTCGATATCGAGGATTGATTTGGGTGAATGCGCTGGGCAACTTCTCGGCTCATTCACGGAACTTGGCTCTGTCCCCTGCGAATGCTCTGCATTATTGCGTGGCCTGGTAATCACTAATTGGCATCTGTCCTCCTCCTGTCCTGTTTTTGCTCTCCGCTTTTGGTTCGGCTATCTTGGTTACCTGGTCCATTGTGTTCTTCTGTGCGTGTGTTTGGTTTCCCAGACGTTCGCTTCTCCATTGCAGTTATCTGGCTTTTCCCTCAGCGTACATGTAGCGGTTCACGATGCCCAGCAGCAGGGATTCATTTTCTGAGCTACGCGTAACAATCCATGCCTCTCCTCGTTGGTTGCGGCTCTAACGCCTGCTGCCGTGTGCCTTTTTGGAGTGAGCTCGTCAATCTCTTCATGACTCGCTCTTAATGCCACGTTCACGCAAATGTTCTCGCCGACAAGACACGTTGCCCCACACAACACACAAAACTTGGCTGGATTATAGTGCGGGCGCGGCCGCAAGAAACCCTCGAAAGAAACCCAACCCTGAGAACCCGTGCGCGAGGTGCACCTGAGGGGAAACCCGGAGCACCCTGAACGCAGCAGCTCCTTCAGCGGCTGCGGGAAGTCACCGCGCAGCGCGAGGAGCGAAGAAACCCAGGATACCCTGACGAAAAGCAGATGGTTTCTTGATACGCGCACCCCCAGGTAAGGTTGAACCACTCGCCTCGGTCTTGGGGAACGCTCAACCCTGGAAGTGGGTCTTGGGGATGTGCACGCGCAGCCGCCGCCGAGGCTGCTGCTGCCTTTGACCTCGCCACATCCGCGTAAACATTGCACGAGGTCGACTCAAGGGTGCTGACGATACTTTTGTTTATCAAAATAAAACAATTATATAAAAACGGAGCTAGGCGAATGCTCCACTGTTAGACGCGTGGGCCAAACGGCGCTGGTAACAACAACCGTTCGACACTCAGGCACTCTTGAGCTCCTCATGCAGTCGCAGCGCCATGTTCTCAAAGGGGTTCCTCCTCCTTTGGCTTGTCCTTTTCATCCTCTCCCTCCTTCGTCTCCTCCTCCTCCTCCTCCTCCTCCTCCTCCTCCTCCTCCTCCCTGTCCTCCTCCCCCTGGAGCGACCTGATTGGACTGCTTTGGGGACAGCCCTTCTGTTCTTACGCAACTGTGTGCAATGTCCAAGCGGCAGGCCGAGGTCCATCTTGGACCCCTCCTCCTCCTCGTACTCATCCTCCTCATCCTCCTCCTCTTCTTTCGGGGATGGACAGACCCCCCTTAAGTACAACGTGGTTTAGTGAAAACGACCTGAGGCCCAAACCTGGCGGGCGCAAGCCTGGAAAATAACGGCCACGGCGCCCTCTCGAGAACTGAAAACGGACAATTCACTAATCGACGTGTCACTGTTGGGGGTTCTGTCCACCCCCGATTCTTCCTCCTCATCCTGGGGTCCACCAGCGACGCCGGCAGGGAGGAGGATGTAGGCTGGTCCAGGATTCGCCTCCCTCCCCTCCAGGAAGCCACTGGAACCCTGCCCCAAAGTCTCCGGCGACGTATGCAAATCACCGAAGAGCTTCGACAACCTCCTCCCCTCTTCCCGGAATACTCTGACAAGGTATCAACAGCTCGGGCACGTATGCCACGGAGATCTTTGAGAATCGGCGGGTCCAAAAAGCATGCCTCAGACGCCGCAGTCCTTCGAGTGTCCCAGGAAACTGAGAGGAGGTTCCAGAGCGAGCTAAGCATCCGTGCCCTGCGGCTGCGTGGCCCTCCCTCCCTCCTCCTCACCACCTCTCGAGACGGCAGGCGAGAGAACCAAGGCGAGCTGCACAGCCGCCTCGTCCAACCCGCTTCCCCAGTCTCCCTGCTGCTGCTGCGCACCTTCCGGAAAGACGGTGTGCGTGCGGTGTCCGCAAGAGGGCCATGCAAGAGGAGGGGTGGGGTAGTAGGGCAGCAGCACGGCAGGAAACGCAGCGGCGGCGGCATTCCGACGTGCCCAGCCTATCGAACGGCATCCTGCCTGAAGGCCCCCCAACTGTGCCATCCCCTCCTCCTCCTCCTCCTCCTCCTCCTCCTCCTCCTCCTCCTCCTCCTCCTCCTCATCCATCATCCATTCGCCTTGCAAATTCAATCATCCCTCCGGGCCAAAGTGGTCAAGCGATATCTTCCTTTCCTCGTCCAAGACCCCTCTGCCCTTCGGGAAGGGGTACCCTCCCCCTCCCCTCCCTGAGGATTTGTTGGGAGGGTCGCGATGTGGCAGGGGGTCCTTGTTCGCCCAAGGCTGCTCTTAGAATGCCTCCGATGCTCCAAGATGGCCTCCAAAGCGACTCAAGATAACCAACATTGGTTAAAGATAGCTTCTGACATACCTCCATGAGGCTCGACAAGGGCCACAAGACGGTTTCTAGTGCTCTCGGAGCCCACTCAGGACCCTCCATCCAAGAGGCCAACATCCTTCAAACACCTAAGGACCACCACTGACTGTTGTCGTCTCGCCTTGTCGCTTCCGATGTGCGTTTTAGGGGTTTTGATCTTGTCCCAAGATGGCTCCCCAGAGTCCCAAGATGGGGCCCAAGAGGCCCCCCAAACGGCACGAAGAGCGCCCCAGATCGGCTCAAGAGCGCCCCACAAGCGCTCCAGGAGGCCAGTTTGATCCCCAGAGGCGGGGGGGGCGGCGAATTTTGGGCCCCCTCCCCCTCGGCTTGATCGATGGCCTCCAGCATGGCCCCCTAAAAGCCCTACAGGGTTCCCAAGAGACCCCCAAGGGGTCCGAAGAGGGCCCCAAGAGGGCGCTGTAAGAGGACCCCATACGATCCCCCCAAACAGTCCCAACAGGGCCCCAAATAGGCGGTTCTGAAGGATCTGTCCTCGTCCTCGATGTCCTCCTCCTCCTCCTCCTCCTCCTCCTCTTCCTCCTCGTCCTCGTATTCGTCCTCGTCTTTGCCCCCTATCGTCTTCCGTTTGCTTGTCCTCCTCTTCCTCGTCGTCGTGGTCGTCGTCGTCGTCGTCGCCGTCGTCGTCGTCGTCCTCCTCCTCCGTTTCCTCCTCCTCCGTTTCCTCCTCCTCCTCTTCCTCCTCCTCCTCCTCCTCCGTCCTCCGTTTCCTCTTCCCCTCGCCCAAAACCTGGGCCCCAGGGACGGCCCGAAGAAGCCCTCCTAAGCCACCCCCTTGCTCCCAGACATCTCTCTGTCCACCCTGCTTGCCCGCTGTGTTTCACTATATATATGTGTGTCTTCGTTCCGTTTCCCGTCAACTCTCGTGGGCAGGGCTTCTGGATGGGCTGGCGGGGATACGCGAAGCGTGAAGTGAAGAATAACTCCCCACCTGTCTCACCCCGAGACGTGCTGGTAGAGCGGGCATAGCGTTTCCCCTGAGACTCCTTCACTGTGTCTGATCCTGGAGCTTGCGCTGTTCAAACACTTCACGGGTGGAGGGCAGGCCGCTTTTTTAAAGTTTGCTCTCTCCTTAGCGCCGCGAGGATTCGTGCTCAAAGTTTGCAAAGGCTTCTCTGATGGAGGGCGGGTGGGCTTCAACATGTGGCTCTCGCCTTGGCACCGCGCGCGTTCGACTTCAAAGTTCCCAGGAGCTTCTCGGATGGAGGGCGGGTGGTTTTCAAACTGTGACTTTCGCCTCAGTGCCACGCACATTCGTGGTCAAGGCTTCCAAGAGGTTCACGGGTCAAGGCTTCCAAGAGGTTCACGGCTGGCGAACGTTGATTCAACATGTGGCGCTCGCTTTAGCGCCGCGCGTATTCTGTTTACAAGCTTGCAACAACTTTACGGTCGGAGGGCGGTTCCTTTTCAACACGGGGCTCTCGCCTTAGCGCCGCCCGCATTCGTTTGAAACAGATGCAGCAATGGTTTGAGTATTCGTATGGTGGAACTCCCCGGGCTGGCGTTCTGGCACGATGTATAACTGCCAGGGCGCAACAGTAGCGTTGATTATTCGCGGCGCTGAAGTTCCAGGTATCCCAGGAATGGTTCAGAATTTCCAGACGCAGCAATAACGTTGATTCGCGGCGCCGAAGTCCCAGGAATGGTGTTGTGACGGTTGTCTTCCCATTGGGCACTTCCCGCGATGAAAGTACATTCGTCATGGCACCGATGAAGAGGAAACTTGGAGGGAGGGTTGATTGCGACATCGTTGATGCGTCTCGCGTTTGAACTGGTCCTCCTTCTCCTCCTTCTCGTGCCGCCGCGGTCCTTCTTGGACTGGGTGGACACCGTAAAGGCGGCGTCGATCCTCGGCGGCGGCACAGAAGCAGGCAGGGCGCGGAGGGGCGGCCCTCCGAACAGGCAGGGGGGGGCTCCCCTGTACGAGGCAAGCGAGCCGCCCGTCGCCCGGGCCGTCGCCGCCGTCGCCGTCGACCTGCCTCGCTCTCGACCACCCCAAACTGGAACCGAACGATATCGAACTACCCGCGGGGTAGCCCGCAACGGTCAGGCGCCCTGGCGCGGAGGCGCGTGGTATGACTTGGTCCTGCCTGGAAGTGAAAGCGGGGTAGGTCGACCTCACCCTGTGGCTCCGAGGGGATCGGCCCCATCCTTGAGGCCTCTGGCAGCGCTCTCGGGCAGGCCCGGGGCGGAAGGAGGAGGAGGAGGAGGAGGAGGAGGCGGAGGAGGAGGAGGAGGAGGAGGAGGAGGAGGAGGAGGAGGAGGGGAGGAGGAGGAGAGGAGGAGGAGGAGGGAGGAGGAGGAGGAGGAGGAGGAGGAGGGGGAGGAGAGGAGGAGGAGGAGGAGGAGGAGGAGGAGGGAGGAGAGGAGGAGAGAGGAGGAGGAGGAGGGAGGAGGAGGAGGGAGGGAGGAGGAGGAGGAGGGAGGACCTGAGGAGGGGAGGAAGAGGGCAATGGGGCCGCTGCTCCCCTCGGATCTGGCCCCCCCCGGAAGCCTCTCCCGCGGCGCAGTCCTGACCGGCCGCCCGAGCTGCGTCGAGCCCTGGCCGCGGAGGCCCAGAAAAAAGAGCGGCACGGCAGAGCCCGGAGGTCTGCCGCCCCCCCCCCCCCCCCCTGCCCCCTTATTTGAGCAGGGACCGACCGTCCCGGCATCCCTGTGGTCCTACCACGACATGTTCTTAGGACCCAAGAGTGTTCTAAGAACAAAAGCAAGGATCTTAGAACAGAAACCCGACGTGATAAAACAAGACAAGCTCCGCCAGAAGTGTTCTGAGAGCATGTCGCGGAAACCGCAACAGGTTCTTAGAGCACTGCTTGGTAGGGCTATGGGCGAGCCAGGAAGCCTCGCCACTGCTTGACTTCTGGCGCGCCGCCGAGATCCTGGGGGCTGGAACTGGCTGAGCGGCTGGCACCCGCTTGACGGCCCCGCCGGCCAGGACCCCGGCCCCGGCCGGGTTCCCCTTCACGCGGCCCGCCGCCTGGGAGCAGGAGCGGCGGAGGGGAGGGGGGGCTGGAGGCTGAGCGGGCGGAGGGGAGGCAGCGTGAGGCGAGGGAGGGTCGAGGCAAGGAGGGGGCGAGGATAGAGGAGAGGAGGGGAAGGGGGAGAAGGTGGAGGAGGACTGGGAGGAGGGAGGGAGGGAGGGAGGGGGGGGGAGGAGAAACGAGAAGCGACCGACGAGGAGGGCTGTGGACCACTGCTGATACGGCAACAGGCTGAAAAAAGACGGGGCACGGGCCCCCACTTGTCGAGGAAGTTCATGAGAAACTAACTGGCGCCCAAAAAGAAAAAACAGCAGGCGTGGTTGAGCCGAAAACGGCGCGATCAACACCAAAAAACAGATGCAGAAGCCAGATCCGTGAATCAAACCTGGCAAAATATGGCATTGGCACCTGACTTGACGACGAAATTGGCATGCGCGGTGCCGTAAAGATCCCGCACCTTGAAGATGAACATCAGGGGGATCGAAAACCAAAGGCGCCGAAACTTCGTAACACGCCAGCCTGCGACAGCAGGTGCACTGCGAAGCCGCAGAAGTCCACCTCGGGTGAAGCAGCATATCGCCAGCAAGCTGATTCCGCAAGTGTCCCAACTTCCGCGGCAGCTCCACGCGGTCAAGCCCGAGGAAGTTCAGGTCATCCCGCGAGTACCTGCCAGAGGTAGCGCCATCCCCGCCACCATGAGCAGCACGTGGACTCACGCATTCAGGAGCGGCTGCCTCATCCACTCTGCGACCCCGACAATCCGAAATAGAGGCCACTGGCGCGCTGGTCAGCGGGAATATCAGGCCCTCCATCGCCATCATGGGAAAAACGGCCCACTTATGCGACGAACTCCCCGACGCTCACCAAACTACCCTGCGACACACCGGTGTCGACGGAAACTCCCCAAACAGAACAGGCCTTGTATCCTTCTTCAGCTGCTTCTTCTGCTTCTCCTTCTCCCTGTTCAGCCTCTTCCGCTCCTTAACCTCCTCCGGCGAGCGACCGTGGTGAACATGAGGGTCACCTATGTAGGACGTCTCGGGGTGGCGGCGGAGGGCGCGATCTCCGCGGCGGCGTCCTCGACCTGCGCACTGCAGGAGGCGGCGTCGGAGGCAGACTCGTGTCAGCGTACTCGGGGCCTGCCCAACGTTCGCGAACGACGTCAGCAGGGCGGGTTTGAAGTACGGGTCCACCACCTTGAAGACTCCTGGGGGCGGCGGTGTCGGAATCGACGGCGGCGTCATTGCAGGGTTCAACGTGACGTCCCGAGTCACCATCTTCACCACCTTGAACTTCTTGCACTTCTTGTTCGCGTACTTCTTTGACCAGGCCAGGCATCTCATGTCCGGGAGATTGCCCTGGAAAGCCGGCATCTTTGTCCTCCTGGCATTGTGGTGCAAATGGGCACGAGCAACAAATCAGGCCGAACATGCCGTAGGCCTCGGGGGTGATGGCGGACGCGGCAAACGAACCTCGGGAGCGGCCAAGAGGGGGGGTGTCCAAGAGGGGGGGTGCAAAGCATGACCGGCGGCATGTGCGCGGCCCAGCGGGGGGGCCAGGGACGTAACGAAATAAGAAGAGGCGTCATGAAATCTGGGAAGATACCATGGCCTCCGCCATGATATCCCCCCCCCCCTAGTCATCACCCCCCTCTTTGCCGCCTCCGAGTATGCCTCGGGGGCGATGGCGGACGCGGCAAACGAACCAGCCTGTCCAGCACCATTTCCGCCAGGCCACCAGGTGCCCGGGGCGCAGACGGCGCCATGGGCGGGCAGGGGACCTTGCGGAAGCCCACCTGGGTCCTGATCGGAACGGCAGCCCGCCCCCGCCAACAACTGGGCGGCGTGCGCGGCAGAGAGGATGGTGACATCTGCATCGCACTAGCTCACCCTATCCCTGAGGTCAGCGCTTTTCAAATAGTCCGGGATGCATACTCGCATGCACGCGAACGAACAAGAAGGTGTGCCCGTACAGAGGAGGCCAGTCCACAGGAAACCTTCCACCAGAAGCCCAATCCCGAGACGCCCAGACGTCCATCGGTTTGCGGCACGGGAACGTCGCGCGCTCCGTCGCAGAACCGTCGAAGCCCAAGAACCCCTGGAGGCGCCCTGGATCGGGGAGACGTAAGACTCGGGTAATTACGGGGGACGCGGGTTGGCCTGACGGGGCCCATCATAAAAACGGCGAGACGCAATCTGAAACTTGACGCGAGCTCCCACTGCAAACCTCCCACGAACACTGGACCGTCAGAAGCCAGGACGCGCTCGCCAAAAAACGTCGGCAGACCCGAGTTCCGGCCTACCCGAGTCTTACGTTCTCCCGACTGGAGGCACGCAGGGTCTTTCTTGGCATGGGCCGCGGAGGCCGGGAGGGGGCCGAGGGGGAGGAGGAGGAGGAGGAGGAGGAGGAGGAGGAGGAGGAGGAGGAGGAGGAGGAGGAGGAGGACGAGGAGGATTGGGATTGGGATTGGGATTGGGATTGGGATTGGGATTGGGCCCGTGGGAGTTCAACTGCAGCTGCTAGACGCCTGACGACACCGCCTACCTTCACAGTTAGGGGAACTCTGGGGGGCGAATCGTGATTCGCCAAACCGTCTGATGCGGCCCATGGCACACGACGGACGCCGCACCGCCCCTACGAGCACCCCCTGGACGGCACGCAGCCTACGGAGGCTGAGGAGGAGGAGGAGGAAGCCCAAGAAACCCTGGAGGCGCCCTGGAGGCACAGCAGGGTGTCTCTCGGCGTGGGCCCCCGCGGTGGCCAAGCAGGCGGAGCGCGGCACCCGCAGGCCGCACGCCTTGCCGCGGCTCCGGGCGCGGGCCCCCGAAGCGCGGGGTGGGCGCGGGCGGCCGACCTCGAGCCGCGGAGGCTGGGAGGGGGCCGAGGGGGAGGGGGGAGGAAGAGGAGGAGGAGGAGGGGGAGGAGGAGGAGGAGGAGGAGGAGGAGGAGGAGGAGGAGGAGGAGGAGGAGGAGGAGGATTCCATGGATTCCAGCGTTCGGGGGATTCACGAGTGCGAGCTCGGGCACACGAGGAGGAGGAGGAGGAGGAGGAGGAGGAGGAGGGAGGAGGAGGAGGAGGAGGAGGAGGAGGAGGAGGAGGGGGAGGGGGAGGGGGGGGGGAGGAGGAGGGAGGAAGCAGGGGAAGCAGGAGGGCGCGGAGCTGGGATTGGGGAGGGGAAGGCTGGAAGGAGGGGCGACGAGGAGGGGGGAGGGGGACGGGTGAAGGGGGAGGCGGAGGGAGAGAGTGGAGGGAGGGCAGGAGATGAGAGAGGGGGCCGCGTCAGATCTGACGTCCTACCCCTCCCCCCATCCCTTACCATTGCGTAGAGGACAGCGATCCCCCAAGGCTACGCGATGCACAGCATGGCACAGTAGTGCGTAGTCAAGAATTGTGCATCATAGCATTGCAGCGCAATGCATGGCATCGCACAGCGGCACATAACATAGCATTGCATGGTATGCCACTGCATGGCATGGCACTGCGTAGCCCAGCGGTGCATATTACAGCATGGCAGGGCAACGCGTGGAATCGAACGATAGCGGCACATCACAGAGCAGTGAATTACACACCTTGGCTGCATAAAAGGCGCAGAAGCGAAAGAATCTTGGAGGACCAACAATTTGGAGATGAGGCCCGCGCTGCAGTGGGAGCACCCTTCGGAAGCACGAAAATGCGGGAATGAGGGGAGCGCTGCAGCGGGCGCACCAATCGGAAAGACCGAAAACGCGGAAATGAGACCACGCTACGGCGGGAACACGATTCTGAAAGACCAGAAACGCATTCATGAGGTCAACGCTGCAACGGAACCACGAGTTGGACGGACCGACAGCGGTCGGATAGGAAACACACACGGTAAAGACCAATGCTTGAAGTCCTCGTTGCGAAAGCAAGACGCGGAGAGGGCGGGACACCTTCTGGACAGAGCCCGGGGAGAGAAGAGAGCCGCACTCGTAGGTGCGTGACTGTGGAGGGAGGGCACCAGGAGGGAGGCGGGCGCATGGGAGGAGAGGAGGACGAGGCAGCGGGGGAGCAGAGCGGGCATAGGGGAAGGAGAGGGAAGTAAAACAGGGCTAGGATCGGGATAAATCGCTCCAGAGCGTTCCGGAGCGCTCTCAGAGCGTTCCGGAACGCTCTGGAGCGGCCGCGGCGCCCAATACATTCTCCAAACCCGCCGATTCTCAGAGATTTCGAGCTATCCCGATCCGATTTTGTCCCGATCTTCGCGTCGTTTTAGGAAGGCAGGCGGGAGGGGGGGGGGGGGGGGGGGGGGGCGACGGAGGAGGACGAGAGGGAGCGAGCACGGGAGAGGCTCTTCGGCCAGCCCCCGCCGCCAGCGGGGCGCCCGGGCGCAGTCCACCGGCCGGCGGCCTGGCGGCGGCCCGCTCCCTCCCCGGGGGAGGAAGCGCCCCCCCCTCGAGCAGGGGCCGACCGTCCCGGCATTCCTAGAATCCTGCCACGACATGTTCTTAGAACCCACAAATGATCTCAGAACAGAGACAGTGTCCTCAGAACAGGAACCCGACGTTACAGAACAAGACAGGCGCCGCCAGAAATGTTCCAAGAGCATGTCGTGGAAACCACAAGAAAGGTTCTTAGATCATTGTTTAGTAAGGCTATAGGCGAGCCAGGACGCTTCGCCACTGCCTGACCCCCACATCCGCTGGCCGGAGAGGCAGAGGGGCCGCAGGAGACGGAGGGGCGGGCACGAGCAGACGACGAGCGGGACGACACCGGGGCGAGCGGGGCCGGGACGAGCAGCGGGAGCGGGACGGGGAGGGGCAGGCAGAGCAGACAGGGACGGGCGCAGGAGCGGGAAGGGCCGGGGCAGGGGCATGAAACGATGAGGGGGGGAGGAGGACGTGCAGGGAATGATAGGGAGAAGGAGGAGGAGGAGGAGGAGGAGGAGGAGGAGGACCACGACAAAGACAAAGACAAAGACAAAGACCCAACAAGGCGACGACGATGACGGCGACGGCAACGACGGCAACGACGACGACGACGACAAATGCGACGACGACGACGACGACGGCGGCGGCGACGGCGACGGCGACGAGGACGAGCAGCAGCGCGACACGCCCGGCGCGTCGGCCTTTTGACGCCCGAAATGGGCACCGAAAAAAGGGGTACAATGCCCAACAGCAACTGTTGTCCCAAACCGACAGCGGCCGCTGTTGGGCAGGCGGCCTTCTGTCTCGAATGGACACAGGCCGCGGCGGCGTGGACAGCGGATCTTGTTCAAAATGGACAGGAACTGCTGTTGGGCATAGTACCCATTCTTTCAGTACCCATTTCGGGCGTCCAGAGGCCTGGCGCCAGCCGGCATTGGCGGCCTCTGCCCGGCCTGCCCCATGCCCCACCTCGGCACGGCCGCAGGAAGTCATCAAAAATCACAGCGGCACCGACCTCTCTCGGCTCGGGCCACCATGAAATATCGGAAGACGAGCGGAATTACACGTCAACTCTCCTGCCATTGGGCGCGAATCAATGCGAGGGCGATGAAGGGGGGCGGGGAAGAAAGGGGCCCGAAGAGGCCTCTTTTCGGCTTTCGGCAGCCCTCGCTCCCCCCCCTCTTATCGCCCCCCCTATGGCGCGCCCTCCTGGGGGGTCCTGCCCAGGGCGGCCAGAGAGTTTATACGGTAAGGGCATTTGATAGGGAGCCCTTAGATAAGGAATCCAGGGTCTTGAAGCCGGCGGAACACCCATCGAGGCTTGGCGGTGGATATCACCGCTGCCCTCCTCGGATAAGGAATCCTCCAGGGCCTGAGGCCTCTGGGGCACACTTCTTAACCAATGCCCCCACCGTACCCCTGCGGTGGCACGTCGGGGTACAGACTTTCCAGCCGCCCTGGGGCAGGCGCCCCCGCTGGCGCAAAAATTGTCGGAGGTGAGGGGGGTTGAGATCGCAGTGCAACGGAGAGCCCCCCACCGGGAAATCGGCTTCGGTTTCGTGTTCGTGTCGTGCGTCGGCCCGCCCTTTTTTTTGGCCGCGCCTCCCCCCCTCTCCTCCTATTGCATGGTGGCACAATTCGCTTCAACGGCATCCCCGTTGAGGCATCCCATCGCCAGCGCAGACGTCCTCTGCCTAGCCGCCGACGAGAAAGGTTCGTGTAGTGCGTGCGGGCGGGGCGAAGCTGCGTGGGCGGGCGAGAAAGAGAACCCTCCTCTGGCTAGGGCGCCGCCAGCCCAAGAGACCGCCTCCCCGGTTGTCCAGCGGTGGCCGCGGGTGTCCCACGGGTGTCCCGCCGGTGTCCCGTCGATGTCCTGTCGGTGTCCCGTCGCTGTCCCGTCGGTGTCCTTCAGTGAGATCGATTGTCAGATCGATAAAAGGATCGATAGTGAGACCGATTCCCCCATGCCGATCGAGAGCTCCCCCTCGACTTCCGCCGGCTGCCGCCGAGCTTCCGCCAGCACTGCCCTCCTTCTACTTCCACCAGCCTTCAGCTGCCCTCCGCCGAGGGCTCCGAGATGCCAACCCTCCCGGGCCCCCCCACACGCCACGACTCTCGCACGACGTGGGGCGCCACGCCTCGCTCTCCGCAGACATCCGACGTCTTGGTGCTTGTCCAAAGCATGAATGCAGGCCAGGTGTCGAAGCACATGGGCAGTGATGCAGCACTGTGGGCAATAATGCCGCACAGCGGCTTTCCAGGCTTCTGCTGGAATTGCCGCGTGCACTCGAAAATCATACGGAATCCCCCGAAGTCCCCCGAAATTGCCTGTCCGCAGGAGGCCCCGAATTTCCCGACCCTTTCCCGAGGGCCGGCTTCTCGTCCCGAGTCGTTCTTTGATGGTCCTGGGGCCCAGCGAGGGCCCCCGAAAACCGAATCAACTACGAAAGTCATCCGCACTGTCTTCGTTCCAAAATGCTTTGGAGGTCTGGGCCTTTCTGGGTCCGACCACGCCACCGCCGCCCCCCCCCCCTGAGGCCAAGATAACCACAAAAGCCCGTCGTGTCCTTTTGGGGGCCTTCTGGCCCGGGTCCGTCCAGACCCGGGCCGGTCGGGCCTTGCAGGATCCTGCGCAATCCTGCAGGATCCTGCACCCAAGCCTGGGTCCGTGCACCCCTGGCCCTGCAGGATCCTGCAAGATCGTGCGCTCTGGCTGCGCCCCGATCTTTCCGAGCGCCGCCGCTCCTGGAGTACACGGGGGCCCCGACTTCCTCGAGGGGGGAGGAGTTCCTTGGGAATGCCCCGCCTCGACATGGCCGCGTGACTGGCCGCCCGCCGGGGGCGCGCGGGGCCAAAATCGGCACAAGCCGCCAGCTGCCCCAGCTCCGCACCGCCTCCTGTGGGCCAAAACGGCTGCGGAGGGCGGGGGGGGGAAGAGCGGGGGGCGGGAGGGGGGGGAGGGCGGGGGAGAGGGAGGCAGGCGAGGAAGGTCATCGAGCATCGAGCTGTCCGACAAAGTCGCTCATACACAAAACGTGCACTCTGCCACCCCCTGCATGGATCACCCCGAACTCCGCGCCGACAACGACCAAAAGGAAAAAGGAAAAAGCCACGCCAACGCCACGCCAACTATTTCCCCCACTGCACCCACTCGGTAGCCTGATTGATTCAACCTGGCACCAGCACTCTGAAACGAACGATGGCGCCATGCTGGCAACGAGGCATGCATCACAACATGATGCACGATGAACTGAAATATAGGACCCCGGCACTATGCGGGATAGGCAAAACAAGTTACCATCTTGAACAAACAACTTGAGAAGCGACAGAACCCACTGACACTGCTCGACCCTCTCGCAAACTATTACATGGCCTTAACGTACCGCTGCTATAAAGGACACTGCTGACGAGGTCGAGTCCCGTCAGAAACAACAGTTGTCCTTTGCATAATGCCTGATTTCGTTGCCATTGCACCACCTGCTCGCGCGTACACGAGACCATGAGACTTGCAAGACGGACTTGAATGGATAAGTCAACCTACCATCGCGGCGCTGAAATCCCAGAGCTGGTGTTCTGAAACAGTTCAAGATTTTCAAACGGTTGTCCTTCAACGGGGCACTTCCTTCTGTGAACATGCCTGCGAAAGCGGAACTTGGAGGGAGTGTTGATTGCAATATCGTTGGCGAGTCTTGGGTTTACACGGGTACTCCTCCTCCGTCTCCCTTTTCCTCCTCCACCCTCTTCCTTGTCCTCATCAACAGCATCGTCATCACCATCACCATCGTCATCACCATTACCATCATCAGCATCATCATCGTCATCACCACAATCAGCATCATCACCATCCCCGTCATCGTCAGCATCGTCATCGGAATCGTCATCATCGTTTTCAACATCATCACCATCGTCATCATCATCATCATCATCAGCATCATCATCCTAATCGTCATCATCATCATCATCATCATCATCATCATCATCATCATCATCATCATTGTCATCGACATCATCCTTGGCGTCGTCATCATCAACAACATCATCATGCTCCTCCTCCTTCATTTCTTTTCCTGACGAATAACTCCTTTCTGTCGCGCCCCGAGGCTGGACGAAAGGGCGGGCCCGGCAGTTCGCCTGAGAATTCCTTACCTTGTACGATCCTGAGGCTCGAGTGGCAACAGTTTCAGAGATGGAGGGCGGCTGGCTTCCAAAATGTGGCTCTCGCCTTAGCGCCGCGCACAGTCTCACTAAAACATGCAAGGGTTTCACGGACTGAGGGCGGCTCATTTTCAAAATGAGGCGCTCGCCTTTGCGCCGCGCAAATTCACCTTAAACATGGGAAGATATGTCACTGATGGAGGGTGGGTGTTTTTCTAAATGTGGCTTTCGTCCTCGCGCCGCACACATTCGCGTTAAACAAATGCGGGAGCTTCACAGATTGAGGGCGGCGCCGTTGCAAAATGCGGCTCTCGCCTTAGCGCTGCGCACGATCGTTTTTAACACTGCAAGTGTTCCATGGATTCTCGTGGTTAACGTACCCAGAATGTTGTGTTGGAAAGATTCAGGATTGGCAGTCGCGACAGTTCGTTGATTCGCGGTGTTGAAGTTCAGGAATGGTGTTCTGGCATGGTCCAGGATCGTCGACATGTAACAGTCGGTTTGGTTCGTGGAATTGAAATACCTAGAGCGGTGGTTTGGCACGCTTCAAGATTTCCAAACACTTGTACCCCACCGGGGCTTCCCTCAGTGGAAGTGAACCCCTAGTAGGGGCCCGTGTTGAGGGAGCTTGGGGGAAGGGTTCATTCGAACATCATGGATGGCTCTTGGGTTTGCAATGGTCCTCCTCTTCCTCCGCACCAGCATCATCACCGGCACCATCCTCCTCCGCCTCCTACTCCTCCTCATCATCATAATCCCTCTTCCTCATCCCTCCTTCCGCTCTTCATCCTCGTC